GCGGGGGTGGGGGGGTGGGGGGGGGACTGGATTTCTCGCTTTCTGTCTCTTTGTCTCTCCATGAGCTCATGTGCCCTATAGCAAAAATCTCTCCCCCCCCCAAAAAAAAAAAAAAAACCCAAACAGAAAACATAACCCCAGTCTGAATATATTAGGAGCCAGGGCTTTGTGGAAGTAATTCAGTCATGAAGGGAGGAGTCTCAAGAATGGGATGTATAAAAGGGACCCCAGAGAACTCTCTGGCCCTCTTCTTGCTGTGTGAGGATGAGGATACAAATAAGTTGTCAGTCTGAAAAACCTTGAAGAGAGCCCTCCCCAGAACTCAGTCAGACAAGGCCGGTACCTTGATTTTGGACTTCCAGTCTCCAGAACTGTGAGAAATCTATTTCCGTTGTTGATGTGCCACCCAGATCTGTGGCATTTTAGTATAACGGTCCAAACTGACTAAGACAGTTTTTCTTTGTTTTTGTTTTTTTTTTCAAACATTCTGCATAAAGGAATGTATCACATTTGAAACAAGAAAAGTAAACCAAGCTATTAAGTCTAAGAGTTTCATAAAGAACCCTTTGATGTTACATATACCTAGGAATTTCATTTCCCCCTCTTAGAATACGGCATGGATGTCTCCTTATGTGAGTATACAGATGCACTCCAGGACTGCCCTATTTGAATTCTGCTGTGTCATTTATTAGCTGGGCATCTCCAGGCCAGTTTCTTAACTTCTCCGTGTCTCAAACTCCTTGGCAATCCCGTAGGAGTGATGACACAGTGCCTTGTAGAATCGTGGTAAGGACTAAATGAATTCAGATATGTAAACACTTCGAGCATTTCCTGGCAAATAAGAAGTGCATTGGCAGCATGGATCTACCTTTGCCCAGCCCACCCTCATCGCTAATTAGTCTGAGTGGCTAGGGTCTGTTTCCCACTCTTCCCTCTCTCATTAGAGCCACCCTTTCCACCTGCTGTTGCATTCCTCTGGGATCCTACCACATGTAAGTGGGGAGTGATGAATTAATCAGGTTGGCCAAGTACGTTCATCTATGCTCGAGTGTCGCCTTCTCCAGGGAATGCCCTTTAACCCAGTTTTGGAAGCTCCAGAGAGCATTGCGTGGGCTGCGGGTGTAGACACCTGCAGCGTTGGCCGAACAGCACCTGTGTCTCTGTCCTCTAGCCACAGGAATACCTCTTCAGGGCATTTTTCTCCCCGTTTTCTGCTTTCATTGGGCATATGCCTCAAGGGCCCTGTCCAGGCTAAGCCAATCGAGGCCTCTCATGGGAATTCAAGCCTCATGCCGAGGGCCTTCTGGATGGGAAATAATTGAAGCTAATTCTTCTCAGAGACAGTGCCCATTTTTCTTGTCCCCGTGCCCCTAGAGTGGCTCCATTCCTGTCTTTCTTGAGCTCCAGTTTCAACTTTCCTTTCAATTATATGAGCTAGTCTACATGCTTTCCCCCCTAAATTAGGTAGAGTCCATTACTTTCACTTAAAAACAAAGAAAACCAGCTGTCATAATACACCAGTGTGGGGAGAGAGAGAGAAGTGTTCTGGGCACCATCTCCCGTGCTGTTGATAAAGTGATACCTGAGTTCAACCTCTCACTCATTCTTGGATAAAGGCCAATGCTCCCCTCCCCTGATAGCCCTCAGTCTCCTTTGCAGAGTCCTCTTCCTGGAACAACCCACAAATGTCAGGATGCTCAGGCCTATTCCTAAGGCCCCCATGTCGCCCTCTCTGACAGCATCACACATTCCATAGACCTGATATCCACCTCTAAACTAAAACCCCGAAACCCCTGGTTCAAGTCCCAATCAGCTCTCAGAGCGTCAGCTCTCTCCTAGACAGCTCCACCCATGGGCTTCTCGAACTCCTCATGTCCAGACGGGAACAGTGTCTTCCCTCTGCAAATTGTTTGTCTCCCTCGCTTTTCCCAGCTTAGTACATGGTATGAACATCTTCCCCCTAGCAATTCCAGAATGTTCCTAGACCTGTCCTTGTCACCTATCCATACCCTCTGATTTATATCTGCTGGTGTTGTCTTCTGTCACATGAGTTCTCCTATCATAAAGCAATTGATAATTAATTTCTCTTTTTAGAGGTTTATGCCTTAGGGCATGTGTGCTTGCTGGAGAGAGGGAAACAGAGACAGCGAAAGGGAAAGTGAGAAATCACCCCTCAGGGGGGACGGTCACAACTTCTCCATTCTCCTCCCAGGATCTTGTGGACGCACACATGTGCCCAGCATGATTTTCAAGCCACCGGGTCTAGGACTTGAACCATGGTCATTCGTGTAGGAGCCCAATGATGTAACTGCTATGCTATCCACTAGCCCCCAGTTGTTATTTTCAATGTCCATTTATCCTACTATCACTTAACTCTTACAGGACATCTCGGAAGTGGGTAATATTATCTCAATGGGAGGAAATGAGGGACCAGAGAAGGGAAGCCATCTGCCCAAGGTCACACAAGAAGTAGGAAGCAGAGTCTAGGTTTGAACCTGGAACAGTCTGAGTCCAAAACCCACACTGATTCCTCCAGGACCCCCTCTGTCCATGGGGCCTGGATACAGGAGGAGCAGGATTGGAGCCCATCTCCCTCTGGAGAGTTACTAGGGTCGGGACAGCAAATAGCAACAGTGTTGTTCGTGAGCTCATCTGCTCCACCGGGCTCCACCCTGTTCCTAATCTGGGCTCCTGACCTGGGAACTCGTCTCCCCGGTAACCAGAGTGATGCAACAAACAGAGGCTGCGCTGGTGGTGCAAGCCCAGGTCAGGTTGCTGAAGTCCAGCCAGAATGTCTTCTCCATGGAGCTAGCACTGTGGAGACCCTGACGACCCAGAGGAATCCAATGCTCAGTCCTGGCAGAGCCACCAAGAGCTTGGAAGCATTGGAGGCTGGTGACCTGCAGGGATCGTAAAGCACTCACTGTGGGTCCCTGGGGTGCTGGGAGGGGTTCAGGAGATCTAGGCTCCATGTGTGCCTTCAAGAATGACTAACTCTACCCATGATTCATCAGAAAATCCACAACTTCCAAATGTATCCAGTCTCCCACCACATCCCCCCGTCCCCCTGTCTACCTTCATCAGAGCCTGTGTGACAGTGTAGGCTGTTTCCACCCTTGTCCCCGAGGTCCATTTTTTTTTGAGAGACGTTTGCTATGGGGTACGTGCCCTCATCTGAGAGAGAGAGTGACAGTGTAGGCTGTTTCCACCCTTGTCCCGAGGTCCATTTTTTTTTTTGAGAGACGTTTGCTATGGGGTGTGTGCCCTCATCTGAGAGACAGAGAGATGGAGAGACAGAAAGTGAGTAATAACACCCCGGGGGGATAGTCATGCTGCAATCTCTTCTCCTCCATTATCCTCTTGGTATTTGGGCATACACTCATATGTGCCCAGTGTGAGTTTCAAGCCAGAGTCTGGGACTTGAACCGTGGTCAGCCATGTGGAAGCCCAGCATCTTAACTTGGTTTAAGATGCTACCCCCCTCCAGTAAATTTTTAAGATGTTTTTTATTGTGGTAAAATATACAACATAACATTTGTCACTTTAGCTATCTTTATAAGTGTACAACTCAGTGGCATTGTGCAATTATCACGACAATCTTCAAAACTTGTTATGATCCCAAAGAAAATCTCTAAGCACCTAGCAATAACTCTGTTCCTCCTAGTAAGCCTGTCATAATTTCTAATCTGCTTCCTGTTTCTGAACTTGCCTTCTCTAGATAGTTCTTGCAAGTAGCATTATAATATCTGTTCCTACGTGTCTGGCTTCTTTCGCTCTAGCATAACGCGTTCAAGGTTCATTCATGTAGTAGCATGTGTCAGAGCTTCATTCCCTTTTATGGATGTATAATGTTGTAATGTATAGATATATTCCCCCTTGTTTTCCTATACATCTGTCAACAGGTATCCCATGGCCAGTATCACAGGACAGCAGAAATTACATCTGAGTTGACTTACACTCAGAGTAAACTATTACTCAGATCATGGCATGACTTTTCTCGAACCCTCCTATGGTTCTCTGAATTCATGAAGAGCAAAGCTGGAGTCCTTATAGTGTCGATAGAAATAACCAACTCTGCAAAAATAATAATGAAAGTGGTTTATTTCTAAGCACGAATTTGTGTGATCTAGGCCAGAGAAGAGGCAAAACATGCCCCCCTCTCCCTGGGTGATCAGGTACAGGGGTTCCTTTTATTTGATTTTGAGAGCGAGGGAATTTAGTAAAGAGCTTTCCATTGGTCTGGTCCGAAAATGTGGGCCATGCGAAAGCAGGGCTTGTAGGTTTTGGGAAGGAATTAGTAACAGAGATAAGGGGGCTTGTATACAAGTCACGGGATACTGTCCCAAGGACAGGATGTTGGAAGAATCCTGTTATTGATGAATCAAAATGGCCTCTTAATGACTGTGGGTGTGACTCGCCCATTATAGGGATACTATGCCAGGGACAGGATGTAGGAAGATTTTTGTTATCTGAGACCAGCAGTTAGCGTAATGGCTATGTCACTGGACTCCCATGTAGTCGACCATGGTTCAATTTCCAGACCCAGTGGCTTAAATTCACACTGGGCGCATGTGCGTGTGTGCCCAAGATCCTGAGAGGAGAATGGAGGAGAAGGGATTGTGGCATGGCCATCCCCCTGGGGGGTGATTTCTCGCTTCCTGTCTCTGTCTCACTGGCGCTGGCAAGCGCACGCGCCCTATAGCAAAAACCTCTCCAAAAAAAAAAAAAAAAAGAGGAAGATTTTTGTTATCAAATGAGTCAAAATGATCGGTTAATGTCTGTGGGCGTGACTCACCCCAGGCCCCTTGGAAGGGATTTTAGAAACAGGACCAAGCTCATCACGTCCTTCCCACTCCACTTGCTGTTCCATGAACGGCCCAGCACGCTGCCACCTCAGGCCCTTTGCCCATGCTCTTCTTCCTTTCTGGACACCTGGACGCTCTCCCCCTGGACACCTGCATGGGTGGCCCTCTCCTTTCTCTGAGTCTTGCTCAAATGTTATCTTTCCATGGGGGTCAGCCTGCAGACCGTGGAAAGCTGCAACTGCTCTTTCCTCTGTCAGATAGATACTCAGTAACTATTTGCTGAATGAATGAATATGAATTTGGACACTTGCTGCACCTTTCTGGGTCTTCTTTTCCCTCTCCGTGAATTAGGGGCTATGGTCCATCGCTGCAGTGAGGGGCGGGGTGTGTGTGGTGGTGGTGTCATGGTAGGAATCGTGTCAAATAATGGCTGTCACCATACTTTGTAAATCATAAAGCATTGTGCAAGGGAGAGAGAGTGGAAGAAAACTGATCTTCATTAAATGCCCTGGAAGCCAGATATTTGTCATCATGGTCTTGTTTATTTTTTTAATTTGCCAGAGGGCTTATGTGCTTGTCAGGGAGAAACAGGCTGAGATACGAGAGAGAGAAGGAGAAAGCACACACATCCCTGCCCCTGCCACCCCCAATCCCTTCTCCTCCATTTCTCCACCATGTTGGGCTTTGGGCACGCACACAGGGCCTGCCATGTTTCTCAAGCTGCCTAGGCCTGGGCTCACTCTGTACAGTCCATGCAGGATCCAGCTCTCTCAGCAACCAGGCCATCGGGCCAGCCCAGATCCATCTCATTTCATTATTCCCGTTTAATACGTAAGAAAACCAAGACTCAGAGAGGCGAGATACCTTGCCTCAGATCAAACAGTAAATGTTGAGTCAGAGCTTCAACTTAGCTGTCTGGCTTTTTCTATAAGCTGCTTCCAGGTCTCGTATTTCATAAGTCTAAGAAAGCTCCTCTTCTTCAGAAACCCTCTCTGAGCACCGGGGAGAGATAATAGAGATGAAAATATGAAAAATATCTGCCTTTGGGGCCGACAGGTGGTGTGGTGGTTAAGGGCGCTAGACTCCCACATGGCCAACCACGGTTCGTGTCCTGGACATGGTGGCTTGTTTTCTCTCTCGCTATCTCTCTCTGGTCAAAATAAATAAATAAATAAAGCTAAAATAATTCTTTAAAAAAACATAACTATATTTTATTAAAAGCTTTCTACAGGTGTCAGGAGCACTTTACAATATGCGGGATGCTTTCCATATGTTGTCTTCATAAGAAAAAAAGAACAGTTTAAAGTTTTATGCGTTTGTTTTTTGTTTTTTGTTTTTTTAAGATTTTTTGCTATAGGGCATGTGAACTTGCTAAAGAGGTAGAGAGAGACAGAGAGGCAGAAAGTGAGAAAACACTCCTGGGGAGGATGTCCATGCCATAATCCCTTCTCTTCCATTCTCCTCACAGGGTTTTAGGCAGACAGCCACCCACCCCCAGCATAAGTTTCAAGCCACTGGGTCTGGGACTCGAACCATGGTCAACCTTGTGGGAGTCCAACACCTCAACCACTACACAACCTGCTGGCCCTGAACAGATATTATTATTATTATGCCTTCATAACAAATAAGGAACCCAAGAATCTAAGAGGTCAGCCTGGGTTTGAGGCCACACAGCCATAAACATTTGAGCCCAGTGCAATCCCGTATCCCACAACATGCTGAAAAAGTTCATGATCAAGGAGAGGGGACTTTCTTAACACCACGTGTGCCCCCACGTCCACGAACCTCCCCAAGGACCTCCCCACCAGAAGCAGACCCGAGAGAGCGCGTGTGCAGCAGGGAAGGCAGACCCCACAGCAGCCCTCATGCCCACACCCTCAGCTTGAGCAGAGGGTGCAGGAGGGACAGGCATCGGTGGGAGCTGGATGGAGATCCCACGGGCCTGAGTTGCCAACGAAGATAGATGAATGAACCACTCAGCAAACCAGGGCACTTCCACCCCACAGCAGAACTGTCACGGGTAAATAAATCATCGAAGCTCCACGCCGGACGTGCCAATTTCAGCGGGAGAAGATGAGAGCATTTATCTGTCCGGTGACATGCTGGATGTCTTCAGGCTGTGAGGGGTATGAAAATATTCCCCAGCACACAGGCCGCCTGGGGGTGGTGGGAGCCAGGAGAGAGTCTCATTCCAGAACCTGTGCTCCTCTTAGACTTCACACGGTTGTCCTGACGCGTTTCTGTGCCTTTGAAAAGACTCGTCATAATTATAGATAATACGGATTAAGTGCTTACTATGACTAGGCATCTGATGAATTTTTAAATTTATACATTACCTCTCTAATTGGCTCAAAATAAATGATTGCCAGGACCAGCAGGTGGTGTGGTAGTTAAGGTGCTGGACTTTCACATGGCTGACTGTGGTTCAAGTCCTGAATCTGGTGGTCCACTTTCTCACTTTCCCTCTCTCTCTTTATCTTTCTGGTGAGCACACAAGCTCTATGTCAAACTAATAAAAACAAATAATTGTTGAAGAGTTTCTGTGGCATTTGAGGATGCCTATTTTTATAACTAACCCAAATGTTTTTTTGTTTTTGTTTGTTTTTTTCTTTTTTTTTTTTTTTTTTGAGAGGTTTTTGCTATAGGGCATGTGTGCTCCCCAGACAGACAGAGACAGAGAGACAGAAAGTGAGCAATCACCCCCCCACCCCAGGGGGGATGGCCACGCCGCAATCCCTTCTCCTCCATTCTCCTCTTGGGATCTTGGGTACGCACGCACACATGCCTGGTGTGAGTTTTAAGCCACCGGGTCTGGGATGTGAACCGCGGTCAACTACATGGGAGTCCAGCGACATAGCCATTATGCTAACTGCTGGTCCCATAACTATGTCCAAATGTTAAATTATGCCCAGGAGAAGTGGTCCAGCCCCAGGTCAGAGGTCAGTTCCCTAAGAGTTTTCCAGCTTCCCACCATCACCAGCAGTAATAACGCTCACCACATGCTTGGACTCCAAAAAAGAGACAGAGGATAGTGAAGGAAAATCAAGCAGATACGTGCACGTGGGAGGCAGAAGAGAAGGAAATGGAAAAGCCCAGCCCTGAAGAGGTAGAAAATGCAGAAGCCCAAGACTTCAGAACCAACTCCCGCATTGAGATGAACCTGGTCATGAACCTGCCAAGTTCTCTTGTGCCTTGAAGAAAAGCAATTTGTAAGGGACCAGCAGTTAGCGTAATGGCTGTGTTGCTGGACTCCCATATAGTCGACCGCGGTTCGAGTCCTGGACCTGGTGGCTTAAACTCATGCTGGGTGTCTTTGCGTGTGCGCCCAAGATCCCGAGAGGAGAAGGGATTGCGGCATGGCTATCCCCCTGGGGGGTGATTTCTCGCTTTCTGTCTCTCTGTCTCTGTCTGTCTGGCGAGTGCACATGCCCTATAGCAAAAACCTCTCAAAAAAAAAAAAAAAAAAAGAAAGAAAGAAAGAAAGAATAGCAGTTTGTGTTGGTGGAACTAAAGGAACAAAATCTCAGTGTTGGGACCAGCAGGTGGTGTGGTGTGTAAATTGCTGGACTCCCACACGGTCACCTGAAGTTCTAGTCACAGACCTGGTGGTTTGAAAATCATTCTGGGTATGTGTGTCCAAAATTCCAGGAGGAGAATGGAGGAGAAGGGATTGTGGTATGGCTATCCCCCCACCCCCAGGGGGTGATTTCTCACTTTTTCTCTCACTGTCTCTCTCTCTCCGACATTGCATGCACTCTATGGGAAAAACAAACCAAAACTCAATGTCTTTGGGAGGGTTTGCAGAACCCTCCTGGTGTCTATGGAGTTGTCTGGGTTAGATAAATGGCGTGGAGAAGGAGTAGATGCTAAGTAAACATGCTAGTGTGTGCTTATTTCATTCCATTCTCAAAATAACCCCGTTCAACAGGGGAGCCTTAAGAAGGCTAGGGCACTTGGCCACAGCCTCATGCCATGAGTGGACTTTTACCATAAGGTCTCTCAGAATGTTTCCTATCAGATGCTTCTAAGTTATTCCAAGCCCTCCTATGCCCTGCATTGAAAGGCCCTAACCCTACAGCCAATGATTCAGCCACAAAACGCTTCTCTGTCTGTCACCTTTTTGGAGACAGGAAATAAATAATCAACAATCAAATATCTCCAGTTACAAATATCATGTTGTGAAACTGTCTTTATTAATACGATCTTAATATATTGAAAAATTTAGATTTTAATGTGATACCCTTTAAAAATTATCTTAAAGAGGGACTAGCAGTTGGCGTAATAACTATGTCGCTGGACTCCCATGTAGTCGACCAGGGTTCAAGTCCTGGACCCAGTGGCTTAAATTCACGCCGGGCACGTGTGCGTGTGTGCCCAAGATCCATAGAGGAGAAGGGATTGTGGCGTGGCTATTCCCCCTGGTGGGTGATTTCTTGCTTTCTGTCTCTCTGTCTCTCTTTGTCTTTCTGGCAAGCCTATAGCCAAAACCTCTCCAAACAACAACAACAAAAATTATATTAAAGGGACCAGCAAGTGACATAGTGGTTAAAGCACAGAACTTCCATGTTACCAACTGCGGTTCAAGTCTTAGACCCCCGCATCTTGAAATTCACACTAGGTGCCCAAAATCCCAAGAGGAGAATGAAGGAGAGGGGATTACAACATGGCCATCCTCCCGGGGGGTGGGGGGAGGTGATTTCTCGCTTTCTGTCTCTCTGTCTCTCCAGCAAGTGCATGCACCCTATAAAAAAATACTATCAATTTTTTTTTATTAAAAATAGAAGCCCTGGAAAGAAAGATACCTGATATTAACAGCAATTTTTTTGAAGTAGAGGAGGGCAGATTTACTGGGAATGTTACATTTTATTATTTTTCCTTACACTATGTTCTAATTTTTCAGCAATGTACAAGTAGGATGTGTCTTAATTGAATAACAATGGGCCAATAGAAGGTTTTGTTCCCCCGCCTCCGAAAGAGAGAGTGAAGTGGATATTTGGGAACACTTTCATAAAGTGGCTGCTGAGAAACTGTGAGCGTCTACACCGGCGGCTGACCTTGTTCTCCCACAGGTCTTTGTGCTTACGATTTTTTTTGTTTTTTTTTTTTTTTACATTTCAGGGAACATAATACAGTGGGATCTGAGCTTTAGGCTGTCATGTCACGTGGCTGTGGAACAAATAACTGGGCAGGGACATCATAGGCACTTCCATCACTTTTGTTTCTACACGACACAGAGAAAGGAAAGGGGCTTGTCCTGACTCACATTGCCTTCTGCTTTCCCCTTGTTTATCTAATATCCAAATGGAAATTCCATCAAATGTCCTTAGAGCCCCCCAGATTCCTTCTTTCCAGGTATGTAGTCCCCATAAGTAGTCCTCCACCTCACCTTTCATTTCTTTTGTAACTGATTTGATAAAAGTCACAGGAAGTTGGGCTGGCAGGTGGCATGGTGGTTAAGGTGCTGGACTCCCACATGGTCGACCATGGTTTGAGTCCGGGACCTGGAAGCTTGCCTTCTCATTTCCCCTTTCTCTCTCTCTCTGGTCAAATTACAAAATAATAACAAATTAAATTAATTAAATAAATAATTCTTTGCAGGGGGAGGGAGTTCACAAGAGGTCATCTTTGTGGGAGAAAGTACAACCCAAAGACGAACACCATGGGCTCTGACTGCCCAAGTTCACATCCCTGTCATAGTGACTTGAGTTGCTAAGATGTTATACTCTACATGGAAGTCCTGGGTTCTATTCCCAGCCCAACCTAAAGGCTGGGTTCCAGCTGAGATGCTAAGGCAAGAGGATCGTGACACAGTGAGACCCTGTCTTAAAAACAAATAAATCACACACCCACCCCATCTGCCTGAGTTCAAATCCCCACTCTGCCCTTGGCTAACTAGATTATCTCTGGCAAGTCCCTTCACCTGTGCTAGAATGTCTTTATCAGTGAAGGGATAACTTTCATAGCCAACTCTCCAGGCTGACTAAAGGAGATAATATAATCTTGGCAGCATGTAATAGGGAGTAGAGACCCCCCTTCCCTTTTTTCATCTGCCTTTTTTTTCTCCCTCCTGAAAAGGTGACCAAAGACGCAAAGTGGTGTTTGGAGACACAACATTTTCTTTTCTTCTGAGGTTCGAAATGCGACTCGTGGCCTTGGAGGTAGGTCACCCCAAGACTCTCACAGTATCTGAGGCACGCATGGCCCCTGGCTGGTGCAGGAGGCCTCAGGCCAATTCCTGGCTGACAGCCAGACCACAACACACAGCTCTGCTGGACTCACCTGAAATGTTCTTGAAGATGAGCCTTTTCGAATATATACAATGAATAAGATTTTGGTTTTCTCTTAATAAATTAATCTTGGACATAGTCAGGGAAGATTTTCTCAGCAACATTTTAAGCCCAATTTGTCTAAAGCTAAATATTGTGGGAGCTGTTTAGCTTTCTTATGGCTATCTTTTAATGAGGAGTCTATTCCTGAATAGCTTAAACAGAATCTAGGATATAATTAAAATATCTTGAATACATTTTTGGATACAAGTGTTCAAGAAGTGTCAATTCATTGAGTAGTACATCAAACATATTAAAATAACATTTTAGAAGAACGTAGTCATTATTCAAAAGGTATATAGTTGTAGTCATTAACTATATTCAATAAGAATCTTCTTTAAGAGGTTTTAGGGGTCCAGCAGGTGGCATAGTGGTTACGGTGCCGGGCTCCCACATTGTCAACTACAGTTCGAGTCCCAGACCTGGCAGCTTGAAACTTGTCAGGCATGTGTACATGCATGCCCAAAATCCGGAGAGGAGAATGGAGGAGAAGG